GGTTAGGTTAGATTAGGTTAGGTTAGATTAGATTAGATTAGATAAGATAGATAGATAGAGAGATAGAGAGAGAGGGAGAGAGATAGATAGATAGATAGATAGAGAGAGAGAGAGACATAGATAGATAGAGAGAGAGATAGATAGATAGATAGAGAGAGACATAGATAGATAGAGAGAGACATAGATAGATAGAGAGAGACTTAGATAGATACAGAGAGACATAGATAGATACAGAGAGACATAGATAGATAGAGAGAGACATAGATAGATAGAGATAGGCATAGATAGATAGAGAGAGACATCGATAGATAGATAGATAGATAGGTAGATAGATAGATAGACAGATAGATAGATAGATGGATAGATGGATAGATAGATAGATGGATAGATAGATAGATAGGTAGATAGGTAGATAGATAGATAGATAGAAAGATAGAAAGAAAGAAAGATAGATAGTTAGATAGATAGATAGTTAGATAGATAGATAGATAGAACGACAAATAGATAAACAGATATATATATATATATATATAGACATATAGATGGACAACTGCAACTGCACTACGCCACACTACAACTTCAACTACACTTCAACTACAAGAACTACAGCTATAACCACAACTACACTACAACTACACTTCAACAACTACAACTTCAACTTCTAACTTCAACTACATTACTACAACATCAATTACCACGACACTACTCACTACAACTATAACTACAACTACAACTATTGCACTACACCACACTACATCCCGGAGTTGTGAGTGAGGTGACCACTGCAGCCATTGCAACCACTCCAAAAAGCACAACTCCAACCACCTTTCGGTCCATCAGTGGCGATTCGCTCTGCCATGCGCGCATCACAACAACTCACCTCTCCTATAGTGTCCCTATCCTTGAAACTTCCGCCGCCGCCTTGTGCGGTACTACTGGTGTGTATATATATATATACAGTGTATGTATATATATATATAAATACACTCTATATATATAAATGTAATTATATGCCAAACATAGTGAAAATTGTTATCACATCATCACACACATCAGATAGCTTAGACAAAAACATCACAGATCATGATCAGATCAGTTTGACCAAGTTTGACCAAGTTTGACCGCTGCCTGGGTCGTTGTCACTTGTCCTCCAACCGTCAGCAGCCGTAAAGACTTCGCTTCATCTGCTAGCGACCCTCTGGTCGATGAGTTGATGTGTTGGGCGCTACCCCGTCGAGGCCTTGGAAGAAAAATGTTGTTGATGTTACCGATGTATGTTACCTAGATCTATAGATGTATACAGATGTATACAGTATATCTATATGATTATCCTGGATCTACCTGGTATATCTATGATGATCTATGATTATCTATATATGATGTTCTATGTATATTTGGATATATTTGGTATTTTTTTTGCAGGATGAGTTGAGCCATGTTGAGCCCCACACATGATGGCTCCAAGGCTTATGTTGCTGTCCGCAGCGGCATCTCGGATGGCCTCCACTTCAAAACGACACACATCGACAGACGTCCCCAGGCCGCTGCAGTCGCCTCCTGTTCCGGCACGTAGCCCAAGACCCGCAGCAGACTCGTCAAAAGATCCTGCTGTGCCAAGTTCAGGTCTGGAAGAACGAATCTATCACGAGAAGTTGGCCACAACAATCAATTGGCCACAACATGCATCAACATGCCACCACCAGAGAAATTTCAGTTGTCTAAGAAAAACATGCAAACATGTCACTGAGCAAAAACACAATGGCAAAAACTGACCATAAACATTATATAATACACTGTACATGGTCTGTGTATTGTCTTAAACTGTACAAATCAGCAATCCAAAATGAGGTCGGAAGCCAAATGAGGCAGAAGGGTGATAAACTGATATTTTGAATTGATGTGTATTGTATATTTATGAATGAAAATTATTCCTCTTCATCCCTCTTCCAGGCAAAACAGTCCTCTCTGTCTGACGCACTTCCGCGCGTCAGGCGCCGAAGCTCATCCTCCAAAATGACAACGGTTGACTCGCAGAATCACAAGGTCCATGGCGGGGCTTTCCTGGCCTCCAATCGCTGCACTTCTCGTTCATGAACTTTCCTGCCACACGATGAACATCGATGAACATTGATATGCAAAGAAAAACGAAACATTCCAACGGAATCCAACGGGTCAAAAATTGCCACAGCTTTCTGCGAGCCTCATCAAGAACAAAAACTCGGAGAAATTCAAAGTGCCGCTTTGGTCCACATCCACTGAAACCACCAACTTTTGCACCACCTGCGGGATGCTGTGAATAAAATGACCGCCCTGCCCCCCCCCCGCCAAAGGCTCTGAAGTGCTTGTAGTTCTCATGCCTCTGGACTCATTTCGTAGCTCAAATAGCCCAACATGCCCTTGGTGGTGGAGCAAATGGGTAGGGCTCATGATTAGCCCTCCCAAATAGGAGGCGAATTGATTGCTTGAAATTGCTAAAAATGTGGGCGCTTGATGTTGACCTGAAACTCACAGCCGAGGCTCCAAAACTGCATCTGTGCCCAGAGCACCAAATTCGTCTGTGAAGATGTCGAAGGTCTTCTTAAACTGGCGATGCGGCAGAATCTGCTCTGCAAGCTCTGCGGTTTGTATATAATGTTTTTTAGATCTGTTCAAGTTTCTCACAGTATATAGATTGGAAACGGTTGGAACAAGTCTAATTATTGTAAGGCTCCACGTTCTCTTTTCTTCTTAAGTGATGAAGGGTCTTGATGCTTGTCTTTGGTTGCAGATACGCAAAATTACTTGCAGTATCTTGCAGTCAAAGTTTAATGTGTTTGGTTTGAACAAATTTGGGGTTGCCCTATGTCATGTTATTTTGGGAAAATGATGAATGATGAACCACAAAGGGGTGCCATGGGGTGCCCCTGTTTCGGCCAACGTGTCCCAAATCCCTCGCCACCGTCGGCTTTTTGGTCAACGTATTTTTGCCCTGGTCTCCCTGGTCTGTCCGTGCGTTTCACAGAGTCTAGGGTGACTCAGGGAAGTCAGATGAAGTCAGCAGCGCTTTGATCTCTCGGGATCTATTGAAATGTGATTGAGACTGCAGGCCAATGGTGTCCTTTGGCAAAATATGGCAAAATGTAGCAAAAACATGTAAAATCATACGGGATTGTTTCATATCACTTCCCATTGGTTATTCCATGTTAATTATTCCATTGGGGGGTAGCTAGATGAAATTAGTAGGGATGGTACCCCTTTGCTTGTGACTGGAAAAGGACATCTATGCTGCAAACGCACGACTGCCCACAAACTTTGCAGGGAACACGCCCTATCATGACTTAACTCACAGCAGTTCTGCATTGTCACGCCCATTCGCAGTGCAGCTTTATACTGCATCCATGTCAGCCAGTTTCAAGGAAGACTGGTTCCTGGCTGCATATCTTCAACATCTTGAAACTTGATGAATCTGACATAATCTGAAGACGGTGACCGCATGTGAGTGCTTGAGAATCTTCGCTGTTTTTTGCCCAGCATCTGGATTGCAGCTTTCGCAGCCTGAACATCTGCCTGCCATGTGAGGGAAGCTTTGCTGCCCTTCCCATTCTCCAAGTCCTGAATGGTGCCACCCCCACAGATCAGTGACCCCCCCGAGAATACTAGGGGTTCATCAAGGCTGGCTTATTAACCACCAGCAACCACTAATGAGGCCCTTTTAACCTCATCCTCAAACCATGTCTGGCTGCATTGACATCAGATTGTCACATCAGATTGTCACATCAGATTGTCACATCAGATTGTCACATCAGATTGTCACATCAGATTGTCACATCAGATTGTCACTGCCAAGTCACACAAACGTTCTGAATGTACTCGGTCCAGGCCGTGCTTTTCGAGAGCTTATCTCTGACAATCATGAGGAGAAGGCCGATCCAATTCTCCGGCATGTCCTGTCGAGCTTCTCACAGTGGCCCATGAGAAGCTACACATATGGGATAGTGTCTCTCTACATATTATATATGTGTATAGTTATGTATACATAGGAAAATAGATAGATATGTATATATATATATATGTATGTATGTATATAATATATTCATATGTACATAAATATCAACAATTGGGTGTGTATGTGTATATGTATACATATATATATATACGTATATATAATATATGTGTATATATAGGTACAGATACTACTATTTGTGCAAACATGCGTTCATAAATCACATAATTCTACTTACATTCGGTGGCTTTCTCCATCCACTTGTGAAATGACCATGCTTCACATTGCCTGAGCCATGCTGATTCTGACCTCCAAGGGTGGGTCTGACTGAAGTGCTTCACCTGCGGCAAAAGAGCTGTTGAAGAACAACACATCAAACTCACCAAACAGCATTGGATAAAAAGGATTTTAAAAAAATGCAAAGATATGCAAAGTAAGCACATTGTTCGTGTCAACGTCATGAACAAAACGACGGAGGCACGGCATTCACAATGGATTTCTCAGGGTCATCTGGGGCCATGAAGGCCTGTGTCCAACAAGAAGGCATCCCCAGACTTGAGCAGCACAGCTGCCACGGCAGAATTTGGTGCAAATTTGGCTTCCAGAACTGCCCGCATCGCACGCCAACTGTTCACAAAACCACCGCCTTGGGAACTGTTGAAACTGTTGGGTAGCTGGTGCAGGTGGGTACCGTGGTAAACCCGGAACAAACACTCTCAAACTGGGGATGATAGACAAGTCTATACCGCCCAGCCCGTTTCTTGCCAAAAAATGCAATTTATGATCAGGTTTGTTGGTTTTAGTTTCCCACATTAATATACATTAATTACCTGACATATATCTTGACATGATTAAACCTGATCATGACAGTAGGGGGGTCATTTTCCCTTGCATTTGATGGCATTTGTATGTGCCAGCTGGGACAAGGTGCGTGTTTGGTCCCGGTAAGTGCCAAAGCGCTGAACTTTGCGAATCGCCGCTACTGGACCCAGCTCCTCACAGGTCGGATAGTCTGAAGCCTTGCTAAAGATGAATAACATTGACAATATAATGCGATATAATGTTTGTATATTATTATGTCTATGTTTTTATGTGTGTATATGTAGATATTACCTTACGTATAATTCATATAACGTGAATTCTTGCCAGTAGCCGTTAGGAGTTCCAACATGTTCCAGCAACTACAGTATTGAAGGACTGCCGTTAGGAGTTCCAACATGTTCTAGCAAATACAGTATTGAAGGACTGCGAAAAGCTGCTCCTACAATCAAGATAATCAAGATTCTTACTGATTCTTCCAATCTACAGTATCAATCTACAGTATCATCGGTACCAGGTCCTGGAACAAACCAGACAAGGGCCAGTTCCATGTAGCTTGATAGGCTGCCTCAGCGTTCCGGAACCTTGAGGAAGATCGGCTGCAAGGTGCAGCCAGGACCAGGCCGGCCCTTCCCAGGTCCTCAGATATGGAAATGACTGGCCATCTGGATAACACTCTTAGGAAATGGGCTGAATTTCTCTGAATATACTAGATAAATAAATATATATATATATACTGAATGAAAACCGACCACCCTCTCAAAGCCGAACAAGAATCTAATTATTTCTCCTCACTTGACCTATTTTGGGGTACCTGTCACTGCAAAGATTCACATATCTTCACATGCTTCACATCCCAAAATTGCAGTAGAGCCAAGTGGCAAAGGCATTCGACAGAACCTGGGCCCGACAAAGTTGGCTTAAAGGACACAGGTCTGGATCCAGTCTGGAGAAAGCGATGATGCCCAGCTTCTGCTGCCTCAAATGGGGACAAAGATGGTGGCATCACATCTCTGTTTTGAAGCTGTAGATGACTCATCATGCACCTGCCTGAAGCGGGGGTCTGCAAAGGTAGCACCAACCACTGGGTCCTGCAGAAGGTTGAGCCGGTCGAGCTTTCTGATCCAAGGAGGCATCCACCATGCACTCAGCAACAAGTTCAAGGTTGCTGTGTGCCTTTACTCGGTTTCAAAAAACTCAGAACTCTCACCGTACAAATGAGATCAAATGAGTCAGGAGAAAAAAGGTGAAGCAACAGCCTTGGCGGTCGAGACCGAACGCCCTGAAACCAAACTTGTGGACACCCTGCCCCCTATCCGCTGACATCACTGCCCTGTCAAGTTTGCCCAATGAATTGAATGAGTCAAATGAACTGAAGTGGAGCAATTCATAGTTCAAACAAATCACCAATGAACTGAAGCAGTATCAAGGAATCATAGTTCAATATAGTTCAATAATTTTGAACAGGTATTTTGCCAGGTTATCAAACCTATGCCATCATCACCCCCAGGTATCCCAGGCCCATCCCCATAGCCCCCCCAGGTATGCCCCCGGCCTCAAGGACCAATGCCTTCGGCTCGTCTCTTCGGCACCGGTACTTTTCGGAGCTGCTCGGTGCTTCTGCCAGGGGCGCCGAGGTGTGGCCGGTGCCATGGCCAAACTGGGGCTTGGATGACAAGCCTGCATAAAACCTGGTGAATGAGGGCATGATTCGATCATAATGTATATACTATATATACATATATAACAGATGCACATATATGTACACAAAAATGGGAATTAAATTGGAATGAAACAATCCAAGATTTCTCCTGATCATGAGTCCATGAACCTCAGGTTCAAAATATCTTCGAACATGTTCGAACCATTCACCTATAATCCAAAGATAGGATGATCAATGATGGTCGTTGTTATCATCCCAGTCCTGTCAAGAATCAACACCATTCCACACCTTCTCGCCGATGCTCCCTCTGTTGCCGTCTCAATGGTCCTCAGTGCTTCACAGAGCAGCATCCCAGAAGATCTATTAGGAGGGAAATGTGTGGAAATATATGGAAGTTCCATCATCTTCCATCCAGTTTCAAGGCGAAAAACAAACCTTTGAGTTACAGCTTTCAGGCAATATACGCAGCATGTACACACACGTGCATGTATAGTCATCTATTTACATAATTATATGTCCGTATGTATGTGTGTATTTTATCAATGCATTATTACATACACATCCGCATATGCATTGTTTATTGTGCGCGCATGAAGAACATTAAAATTAAAGTATTACATAATTATATATGATTATATGATTGAGAGCGTATATATAGCCCCTTTGACCGCCGTGGCTCCACAAGAAGCGGCACTGGACTCAGAGGGTTCTGGAACTTTTGGAAGTTGGAGCTTTTCCAGTGCCTACCGCGAGCAACGAGCGCTCTGTGATGACTGTGCTGCCCTCAGCTACGTTTCTTGGACCACGAGTGATGCAGTGAGCGCTGAAAGAAACTTCTGGATGACCAATTGCAAATCATTATTATCAAATCATTGAATGCTCATCACACGATATAAATATTAATCATGAATTAAACATCATTTACATTTAAATATCATTAAAAGTCACCCTGCAACTGTTGCTTTTTCCCCCAGCCGCGATAGTTCTTGGCCTGCGAGCTCGCCGCTGCAGCCTGCACCTGGTCACCTGGCGCACCAACGGTCAGAAAAAACACAAGAAAAGTCACAAAAACCAGCATCATCTAAATGATTGAATATGCTGCTTATATGAAAGACATCGAAAAACAAAAACAATAATACGACAACTATACCAAAAACTTCACAATGGAAATGCTCATTCCCGTTAGTAACTTTAGTGCCAACAAGGGGGGTAGCAAGGGTGGCCACAAAATCTCAAGAATGCCCAACTAACCCCCGGTTGAACTTATCGCTGGTTATCACCAGTGCCAACTCAGCAAAAGGCGCGGGTGACCTCCGACGGAAGTTTCTTCAACTTTGTCCTCGGCCTCACCATGACATGTGGGAATGCGCCATCAAAATTCCATTAAAAACAAAACATAACATAACAGAACCTATCATAATCCATAAAAACTCATGACATCTCTGATGGAACATTTCGAAAAACAAATGGCTGTGACTCACTTGTGACTCACTCCTTGTGCTCATCCCTTTTCTCCAGGGCTTCCCGGAAGTCAGCCTTGTTCACCTGGTCGGCTGGGCATAGCTCTGACGCAATATTTCGACCAGCAAGAACTGGCAAGAACCTTGTATTTTTTAGGTGTGTTTCAACCCATCCCCAAGATTGCCATCTTATGTATATATATATATTATATAATAATATTAATTATTATTATTATTGTTATTATTATTAATTATTCATATTATATATAATCTTATGGGTTCTTATGGTGAACTCAGTAGGATATCGTAGGATCATCATCTCAGATGGAACAACGGCCCATTAAAACGGCCATCCGTCGCGGCCATGGCCTCCTGGGCTTTCACCTTCTCAGGTGACTCGGGCTCTGGAGGCTCACGCCGCAGCTTCATCTCCAATGGCTGACAGGATTTGCACAGCTCCTCGGCCATCCAGGGTCATAATTTTAATAATGGTCAAATACAATCATGTACAGCTTCAAAAATTGCTGAAACATTTCGGAAAGATCGGAAAGGGACAGTTGATGACAGATACAGTTGAGTGATGTTGAGTGATTCCTCAGATAATTCGTGAGTCGATTCCTGCAACGATAGGCCCTCCCAGTTGTTCATGACAAAATGTAATGATCTTAGACTGGAATTGCAACCCCATTGATCTGTCTACCATTTCTCCAAAGAATCCATCAATGTCCGTGTGTCACCACTTTGGCCGTTGACTTCAAGAAGGACATCTCCAACCCTGACCTGCAGGGAAAATGATGGAAAGCATAGTGTGCTTGAATTTGATGACATGAATCATAATAAAACCAATATGAAACCCCAGTTTTCTCAACAACTTTCCTTGACAACTTGGAGGTTCTCTCGCCTGAAAACATGGATGCTTCCAGTGTATTCCCCCACACTCTTCCATACGACCCACGGTTGCATGTCCCACCTGGCAGTCAGGATTAGCCTCATTCCATTCCTGAACCAATCCAGGCTGCACTTCGAGAATGAAGACTTCTCCATCTTCCTTGTCCACCCGCAGCCCCAGCCGCTGGCCCATCGTTCTGTCCACCGAGATCACGTACCTGGAAGCTGCCGTTCCCCAATGTTCCCATGGTTCCCCTGATGATTTTAAGCTTCGCTGGTTAAAATCCAACAGCTTCAGCAATCGCCACAGCAGCACCAAGTGCCAGACTCGTCCTCTGCAGCTTTTGGTCGAAGAATGGAGGATGGCAAGGGGCACAGGTTGGGAGCCTCGGCCCCATTGAAGTAGGACAGCACAGCTTCCACAGCAGCCAGGACAATCAGCCAAGGATCTTGACATGCCGCTTGACAAACGTACAGTGAGGCGCGGGTCGTCAGCTTTCCAGCCTGGCAGACTTCGACAGAAACAACGCATTTTTGAGGATAAGAAGTTCATTGCAAAAAGGCGCATGCATGTCACAATATCATCAAACATAATTTCCAGCCTGCCCCAAGGCACTACATGCAGCCCATGAAGCCACGCCAAGAGCTGTCCAGAAGAAGGACGCTCTTGATGCTCTTGCGGCTTCTATCTTGGGAGCAGACTTGGGACCTTGCAGGGGAGGTGGATGTATGTTAGCAAAACTCTGCAGGTGACTTGGCCAGCAAACCATACCCCATCGGCATCGCAAGCTGTCCTGCAGAAGGTGCTTTCATCACAGTGAGTGGCGAGGCAGCTGAAGATGGAGAAGGACTCTGGTATGCTTGATAAGCCTCCTGTTGACAGATCTCAGGTGGTCAAAACAATGAGATGAACACACGACCACCACCACCACCACCACCACCACGATCATCCTCATTGGTAAAATTAATGTTAATGTTTAACATGGCTGGGCTTAACATTGCTGTGTCACCTGGCCTGCCGTTCCGCCAAGGCCGTTCTGATCTCTGGCGGAAGGGACTCCAGCAGCTCCGAAGGCACGCTCTCCCCGATGCCCTCTGAACCTCCCTCCTTGGAAAAGTAGGTGGTACTCCTGGCGAGCTGCGGGACATCTTCCACAGTTGCAATATGGAGGTTTCCTAAATCATGGGAGTACCCCAATAGCTGGATGGTTTGTAATGGAAAATTGCTATTAAGATGGATAATTTGGAGGTACACCGTACACCCATTTTAAGAAATATCCAAGTGTATATATATATGTATATATATGTATGTATTAGTGTGTTATATTGTACGTTTTATGATTTATAAATGTTTATATATAATAATTTAATATGTATATATATACCGGAACAACCGAAGCACTTTTTCCCAGTCATAACTCTCCACGCACTGGATAAGTTGCATCTGCATTGCTGCGCGTGCTTCACATGCGGTAAACACATGGAAAAACAGCATGTGGCATGGCCGCCCCGCCTAATGGCTTCCACACAGAGGAAAACAGATGTAGGCAGCTGGATCTTTTTCAGATCTGTGAGCGTGGGGCCTTCCTGCAAGATGTCAATCAGAAAATCAGAGGTATCAAGAAATCAGTATGGACTTCAACATCGTTCAACTATCGGTAACTATCGCACATGTCAACCAACCCAGGAGGACATTATCAACCATCTCTCCTGATCTGCTGCATCAGCACCCACAGGGCCAAGCCCAGTTACGCGGCTGCCGCCCGGCAAGGCTTTGATGGCCCCCGGCAAGGAGAGTTGCCGTTTCAGGATCAGGTCCTTTGGCATCCGCTGATTACATGTGTCATGGTCAAACCATGGTCATTTAATTAATGTTAGTTTCCCATAAAAGATCATATTCCATTCATCGGGATCCTTATGCCCACTATTATTATTGTTATTCTTCTTATTATTATTCTAATATATATATATATATATTATATATTATATATATTATATATATTATATATATATTATATATATATTATAATATATTATATATAATTATATATTATATATATTATATATATATATTATATATATATGCACGATATCCCATGATAAACTAATTCATGGAGAAACCTGTTGCAAAACCACATAAAAACTACACAAAACTACCAATCGAAAGTGATCCAACGAGATCATCCGGCCTCACCCAGTTCGGCGCAGAAAGCCTCCAACTCCTCTTGGCGATGAAGCTCAACTTTACGATCCTCAAACCTGGGAGAAGTCACTGATGACTGGATCTCGGTGGAAAGCGCCCACTTTCCAAACACGTGTATCATTGAGGCATATTGAGGCCACTGCTGGTGCTGACTACTACTCAAGGTAGTCGTCAAGGCGAGGCGGCTATCTTGCTGAAGGAAGAACAACTCATCCAACTGGATACCTCCAACCAAGTACAATGATGCTTGAGAATGCCAATCTTTGTGACAATAACACTCGAGCAGTCTTCAAGAAATCTTTCATGTCTATGATTTGTGATTGGGCGTTTCTCAAAACTACAGTACCACGCCATGAAGTTCAGGTGCGGCAGCTCTGAGCAAATGACAGCCAAAAAAACAAACAGGTGGAAGAAAGATGCCATCAATGAATCAATGTGACAAAGCGCTCAGATGCGCTCAGGCTCAAATGGCACTGGCAATTTCAAAGGCCTTCTGTTGCAAACTGCTTGACCAAGTGAAGGCTGGCTGGCTGTTGAGGCTCTTTGTCCTGCAGTTCACATGGCCAGTCAGTTTTGGCAGCACATAGTTTTCATGTTGTTCAGCAACTATAGAGTTCATCATGTTCCCCCCAAACAATTGCTACCGATTGGAATGATAGCAAACAAACAAAAATATAGAGACAGAAATCGTGTGCCAAACTCATTGTAAAAATCAATCCCCCCCCAAAAAAAAATAAAAACATCAAATCTTACGCCAAAATCATAACGTTAAACATCCTGTATTTGAATATCCCATATAATTAACCACATAACTCCACAACGGGTATCAATGGTATATATGGCTTAAATTGTGGATCCCATAATTTATAGATGTTTTTTTCCCATAAAAAACCTCCATTCATAGCGGATTTCCCTTGGGGGTTGCTGTCAACGATGAGACCGCGCCTCGATCCAAGATGCCATGGCAGTGAACGCACCGCCCAGCGCTTGTTCACCGCTGAAGGAGCTGCCAACTTGAAATCTGGTCGTTGTCTCCTGGTCGTTGGGATTGTCATGGATTAGTTGAAAGAAACATAAAAAGATATAAAACGGATGTCAGGTTTCAAGTTGACACATGTTTTTGCATTCATTAGATGATTTAAGTGGTGTTTCAGAGGAAAATAATGGCTTATATATAAGTTATAAGGTGCATCACCCAGAAAAAATATTATTTTAACACCAGAACCAAGGTGTCAATATAAAATATAAGGGTTTTCCAGTAAACGTTCTCTTGAAAGAACAGAGTAATTAATTTCAGCAAAATGCCGGCCGTATGTCTGTGTGTGTGTGTTGGGTCATCAAAGGTCACAGGGACTGCTTCGATGTCCTCTAGCTGACGCCCAAGCATAGATGTAGTCGAAGAGATTTGCACTTCATTTCCTTCAATGTCCTTGGGGATTTGATGGACAAGTTGAATTCAGCCACACATGTTCAACATCTTCAACAATCAGCCAAACCCGAATCCGCCCATAAATTGGCACCCCACAATGGGTAGTAATTAGTACATATACCTTTCTATTTTAGAGAGAGATATATGTATATATAATACATATTAATACATACATCATAATACCACATATATCCATATTATTCCACATTATATTTTCCAAAAATAACTGAAATGATCTGAAATCCATTGAAAATGATCCATCTGTAATCCGATCGGATCGTTTTACGAAGCGTCGATTTGGAGACTTCGCTGCGCAGCGGATGCCATGGAGCGCATCATGGCAGGTACCTGGCTTTGAAAAGCCATGGGTCGAGCCATTGGGAGACCAACCTCTGAAAAAAGGATGCCCAAAATGCATCAAGATGCTGCATGTATGGAATGTGACTATATGTTGTATGTTAATGTGTAAATCAATATATATATATATAGCATATGTATATATATTATATTAATATGGTATATTTATGTATTTGCTGCTGTGCTTTTTCTGACAAACAAATTTAAAAAAAGATCCAAATGTGGGTCCGCATGCCATGTGTGGAGCGTTTAGATGGTTTAGATTGGTTTAGGATGGTTTAGGATTGCTTAGCATCTATAGGACTATAGGAACAGCAACCAGGAGAGCACACTGTCCGCCCGTCGGCTGAGGGATGCTGAGGGTGTTCCCGCCTGCAGAGCTTCCAGCAAAGACTCCAAGCCCTCAGTCTCATCACCTTCAGATTCCGATTTCCAGGGGATTTCATGGGGATTTCATGGGGATTTCAGATGTCATCCGATGTTTGGGGATTTTGGCAGGATCCCATGATATCCCATGGGATTCCAAAAGGAACGAAGGGATTTCGAAGGATTTCGATTCTCAACGTGTGAAGCTTTCGGTCTTTCAGGTCCAGAACTTGCCATGAGGCCAGTGCTAAGCCAAAACCCTGCCATTGTGCGTTGTGGACGTTGTGGAACTGCTGATGGTGGTGAAACCTCAAATGCGTACAGGGGCCCTCTGGACAGTTGAAACCCCAAGAAGTGCATGCTGCCACCATATGAGACATGCAGGGGCTGAAACAGCTCGACACGACAGCCATAGGATTGTATGCTGCAAAAATATGCAAAATTAGGATGAAACTTTCTTCTCGAATCTTCTCGACATAGAGAGAGAGAGATATAGAGAACTAGAATCAAATGGATACCCATATACTAGCATCCACAAAGCAATATCAGCCAAGCAACTCCACAAATTGCCTCACTTGCACCTGGCAAAAGCAATTCCAAGACTTCAGAAAGTTTAGCCACTTTGGCTTCGACCTGCAGCGTCCATGGGTCACAAATAAGGAAGGATCTAGGTGATGTAAATGTGAATCAAGTGGATGGTGGTTTCATATGGTTTCACTCTCTGTCAAAAAAGATCAATCATTGAAACATTCTGAAACATTTTGACATGACACCACCAGGTATTGTCCTAACTATTCTAACTATTACTGTAAACCATTTTAAAATTGTTTCTAACATTTTGAAACATTTTGACACATAATGATGACACATAAAACTCATAAAACTATAGTTCTGATGTCCTGATGAAATATCCCATAATATCCCCATGTCTTCATCGCCTTCGCCAGCTCCTGCTGCAAGTCATCTGGCCTCCTGCAGTCACTGGTCCCATCGTGCCCAAATCTGATGGTTTGGCGCACGATTTTCCCTTGAAAATGGTGTAAAGTTGTAATTTTAGGATATCTCCCAGTTTTGAACTAACCGATGTTTATCGATTTTTGATTCCAAACGGAAAACCATCATCAAGTTTTGTACTCCCATGATTACAGGCCAACAGAAAACTTCCATCAATCGGGGTCAATCGGGTATGGCTTCAGATTCTAGATCCCGATAAAATCCCTCAAAATGGATGCATTAATATGTTTAACACTTCACTGAACCTCACATAAAATGACCAGGCTTTTGTGGGCCCTTTGGCGCCCCGATAACCTGAATATGGTTGCGTCTGAAAATGATATAAATGATGCATTCCCCTCAATTCCCAGCACATTTATGGCTTTCCAGAGAATGTGACAACCTAAATGGAGTTTGTCTGAAAATAGGCTCCCCATGGCTCCCCAAAAAGATCCAAAAAGCTCCAAAAAACACATGAGTTAAATTTCCAGCATGTGACACCTCAAATGGAGTTTCCGGTGGTATAAACCTCCTTTTCCATCCTTTTCCATCAGATTTCACCCCATTGGAACTGAAAAAAAGATCATCCCCAAATGGCACAGCCGACCTGCCATCCGCTGCTTTGCTCGACTCGCTCTTGGTTGACAGGTTCTTGGCCGCTCCGCCCGGCCGCTTGGGTAGGGAAGGTGGTTCGGCAGGCCAGCCCACCTGGGGTGGTCCAGAGCCATGTTGCGGCTGGTGGGGATGCCTTCGGATTCTTCGGATGGACCTAATGCATCAACATACACGATTTTTTCTATTTATATAATTTTATATGTGTGGAACTGACATCAACTGATATGCATTTTAGAATGTTTTAGATACAGATGATACAGTATATCTAAACTGAACGTGTCTAAACATGATATGATTTCACTGCATGGAGATGTAGCGCGCCTCAAAGCCCAGCTCGGCGCAAATGGTCTCCAACAGACTCCGGCCAGCATGACGTGTCTTAGGCGAACAGGAAGATAACAGGATCGCGAGGGTAACTTCAGGCAGGCGGAGGACCATGGAGCCTGCCACGAGGATGGGAATTCTTTGACAAACGGATGAAACTGTGAAACTATGACATCAGTTGATCATGCTGATTTCTGCTCGCTGATTTTAGCCTCAAATGAATCAAATGACATTCACATGTTCTTGATCTTCTTAGTGATTTCCTTCAGCACTAGGGTGTGATAGCGTATGCTGCAAAAGTCTGGCATACTGTGGCCCCAGCCTGTGGCGCCATCTGAAAATCCGTAGCCTTGCACCTCTTCTTTCTTTGTCTTGAAAGGGAAGAGCTGCCAACCACCCAGAGCGCGCTGTGGTGCTCCCACAGAATCCCACCACTGCTGCCTCACGCGAACCCGAGAGGATCCTGTAAAGTGTCTATAAAGAGTACTGCCATTGAAGGCTTGCAAACGGTTAGAAGACCATTGGAAAATGAAGATGTGTCTGGCCATGTCTGACTTGTTCTACCATTAAGAGATATTAAGAGCTGGCGGCAAAGGCACAAGGTGCGGAATTTCACCTCCCTTCCAGGCTCCAAACTTTTTGCCAACATTTCTGCTGGCACCAGGTCCGCCGTAAACCTGAGCATGCCGATGAAGAAAGGGTGTCTGCAAGGCCAGCTACTGCTAGAGAAATGCCACGAGATGGATCCTTCAACTATCTGCCATTGCGGCCATGACATGCATGATTGGAAAACATTCTAAAACATAACCCACACACACACACAAACACATTATATAAATAATCTAGTATATATATAATATGTGTGTGTGTGTCAGTGTGTATAATATATATATATATATGTATATATGTAGAGATCCAGATTCAAAGAGTATATTTATGTCAAAAATACATAAATAAAATCACCTAATTAACCAAAACATGTTGGTTGATGTCACCTGTTTCATGATTCTCATGGGGCCAAGATCCAAGGGGCATCCTGCAAAGTGTCTTGGCGGAGGCCCGCAAGCCGCGGCCGGCCAAACAGCTGTGGCCAATAAGCAACGCCTTGCAGGCAGCCGGAGCATCACTTCAAACAAGTGCTGAATTTAAACATGTGGAATACTGGAACCATTGAAAACCACCATTCAAATTACACCAAAAGTATAAACAAATGCGTGTAGAAGTGGCACAAACAGGTCCTGGACGGTTTCCAATTCAACTAGTGTACCAGTGCTTTGGTATGCCAACTGCCAGGAGCACCTCTCGGTTCAGGATCATCGGGTCGGTCATCCACGGCCTTTCAACCTAAGATGGGCGGCGGCGGCACCCGGGTGCAGCACTTAATAGCTGCGACCTAGCGGCTGCTAGCTCGGTCTCCGAAAGCCACCGGCGGCGGACGGTGGAGCTGTTGTTGTTGTGGGCCATGGAATCCAGACCTGAAAGTGCTGCAAAGTTGAGGAAGGAGAATGCTGGGCCTGCAGGTTTGGGACATCTGTCTGGTCTCCTGCTTATTCAATAGTCCTGTCTTGATCTATCCGTTGGGGAATCCATGGCAAACACAGTTCTTTGCACAATAATCACACGAATTGATTCATGTCCACTGCCAGCATGTCGCAAGGGATTCAACTATGATTTACTGGATTCCAGCTTCAGCTTCGACTTGGGGGCGCACTCTCCACCTTCTCCTCCAACCACTCATAGATGCTTTGCATGGTGACTCGCTCCTAGCCAACCCTGGGCTATCCATTGGGTCCATTGCAAACAGCTCCATGCAAAGGTGACCCTTCATGACCCTTCATGACCCTTCAACCCATGGAGATCACCCGGTGATGACGTCGTGCAATAGCTGAAGCGTCCTGCGGCTTTCTTCCAGCAAAGGCTGTGTGGCAGTTGGTGGGTGCTCGGTATGTGATCTCACCTGCCATCGACCTCAAAAATCAAGGCCAACACTAGGTTGAAGATTCAATGTCATCCCCCCAACTAACATAAAGCCTGTCACATAGATCCAAAATGATCCAAATAGAGGGCTAGAAGATGTTAGAAGACTATACACCTTCCTCTAAAAATGGGTTATTTCCATGGTCTATGTTAGTTTGGGGATGTTTGGGGTGGTAACTTGGTTTTCCAGGAGCCGCTGTGGACTAACAAAGGTACTGCGCATATCTGCGCATACCATCTACAGTAGCACCCATTACACCCATTTCTATGCAACAGCTGTTGATCTCTCTCTCTCTCTCTCGCTCTCTCCATGTTGCGGTTTCTGTGAAATCATGAAGCCCGCCATCCAAACCATTGCAACCAAAAAGCCCCAGGGTCTGAGTGAGGGCATCCTGTGTGGACTTACGGCCAACTATGCGCTTCAGCAGTGCAGCCAGAGCATCGCCCCATACCTTGACTGAAAGGAGGAGGTGCAATGTCGCTGGAGAAAATAAAGGAGGCAACGAGTGGCAACGAGCAGGCACTTCAATATCTTCAATATACAGTACACTGGTCAACTACATGCGACTGCATAACAACGCAATTATCAGGAGCCACCCCCCTTCACAAATAGTGCCGAAGCAAACCGCAAAGTGTTCACTGCTTGGGTGTCAAGCCGCTGGGCAGAGACCTTCATCTTCGGGGCACAAAGGTGCCGATGCAATGGCTTCTTCCATTCTCGTTTCACTACAAAAGGCTTTGATGGACATATCGCCTCAGTGGGGCAGCCATGCGGCAGTTTTCATGTCATTCCCCAAGGAGGACGATGTCTGATGTTGCAGGAAGCTAGGGTATGCTCTTGCATTCAAGCGGCTGGGAAATGGCTTAGCCAGCCCAGCCTGTCACAGCAGAGAGGATCTGATTGTAATTAGGAATGGACCAAAGGGTTGACATGCAGAGCACGCAGGCTACATGGTACAGCCACAGGTATTGGGGCCCGCTCTCTTATATGGATCTAAGGATCAGAATCTCCATTGTGCCAGTAACTTCAGTATTTCATAGTATTTCCATATATTTCCTGTGCTTGCAAGCTCTCCAATTCTGCTCCACTGGGGAAGTTCACCGCCTGGTGCTGCAACACATCCCCGATGGTCGCAGTTTTCCCTCGCTGGGAGAAGTCTGGCCAAATTTTGGAGATGGAGGTGTTGAAAGACACCTGCTTGCCTGGTGCAACGCTATGAGGCACGGTAGCTGATGGGCCTGGTGGCCCTGGTGGGCCTGGGGATTTCAATTTTGTGTCCCTTTTGCATCCTATGTGATCTGGAGGTCCCAATTTATTGTGCCGGAGCCATCAGTGAAATAAGTGTATCTAATGTATCCACACGATGGATCCAGTGGAAATTGGGTTGGCTTGGCCCAAGATTTATTTCTTTATGGCTTAGCCCAAGACATTTACCGTGGTAAATTAATCTAGAATCTAGACCCTGAAAATCAGCAATTTTTCGTGGCTTCATAATATGGTTTCACTCATCTTCCAACCCCTGCCATCAGCAAATGACCTTGGGCTGTCGGGTGCGAAAGTGCTCGGAGGAGGCAGTGCAGCAAAGGCCCAGCACTCAGACTCATCAGAGGCATGACCTGGTTGAACCAACTATCCAAAATAAAGGGCATCACTTGGCATACCTAACAATATTTATAGTATTAGTAATTTAATATTTGTATATATATATATCAAAACTATTTATAATTGTACTTCTTCATTTATGTATGGTTATGTGATGTTATATGCTGGTTCTATATTATGTATGTATCATGTTGTCTCCATATAGAGCTAATCAAAACTGATTTCATGCAAATACTACAGTGTTTGATTGATTGTGTCATATGTCTGCATGTGATATGTGCACATATGGGGTTACGTCAAAATTCGGGTATGGATCGGCTCGAGGTGATCCAGACGTATGGATCGGTCTGGATCACCTGCGTTTTGGTATGGATCGGGGGTATGGATCGGCCTGTGGGTTCAGGGTATGGATCGGGGCTTTACATTTTGACTCGTAGCCATATCTGTACATATTCTGCCAATCGGACCAGCAACCAGGCTACCCACCAGCAGCCAGGCAACCGTTTGATCTGAGATGGGAACCCCTTGGCAAACACCCAGGCGACCACAAGCCGCGGAGCACAAGAATTCACCACGCGTGCCCAAGCGACGATCCCACACGGCCACCTGGTGGTAGGTCCAAACCCTGCCGCTGTGCCTATCCCAATGAACCAAACAGACTGTAGAAGAATGGTGGAAAATGGTGGTAATATGTGGTAATGTAGTGTTTTCAGGTTGTTGGATGTTCTATGATGATATTCTGTTGTCCGATATTTTGAAATCATTGTATGACTGGGGACCTCAACACCAAGCAATTGAACTGTAGGTGCTGGTTTCACAGTTTCACCTCGTTGATGCAGCTCCAATAGCCTAATGCACTCTTGTCAGCCACATAGGAAGTTCCAAAAGGATTCAAAGTGGACACAATGCGTGCGCAAAATGCGGATACTTTAAAAACAAACGTCGTCTGCCTTCCAAAGCCTTATTCTCAGCTAAGATTACGCTTCAACCTAATCGCTAGTTGTGTGTTGTGACTGCTGTTTGGGGGTCTTTTATTTAAGCTGTTGATTCAGATTTCATCTAGTCAAACAATTAAACCTGGCCGAAAGGACTGGCGTGCTGGCAGTTCTTTGCTGCGAACAAGGCCGTGTACCCTACCTGCGCGCCCAACACCAATCCTTTGCGGTCCAGGTCGTTGAGCTTGGCACGCACCTTTTGCTCCAAAACACTTTGACCTTGTCAGATCTTGCGACATAGTTTCATGATGTTTCATGCTGAATCGAACTGAATCAAATGCCATCAACAGTCCCAAGTTCTCGTCTCGGCCTTCAGGAAGCCATTCTGACTTCATGCTGCTTCGCCATGCTTCGCTTGAACCTGTCGTGCAACTGAGAAACCTGGAGGACCCGGAAGAGCTACAGCTGGCGACCAGGAACCTCGACTTGCAAGGAGTGGCATGCAGTTCTCCAGCATAATCGTAGCGAAGGGTACGGTGACCTCACAAGACGCCGCAGTTGCAGACCTTTTGGTCTTCAGGGACCCCCACACGAAACGAGTTCAATTTCAAAATATATGATCGTTATCATATTATATATATAACACATATAGAATATAACTAATCCATACTAATCCCAAATTCATCCATAGTCAACAAGTCCATGAGTTTATAAGAAAACCACTTGCAGATGGTCACAGATTTTCCGTATATTTTGAAATGGAAAGAGAACAAATTTCGTGCACCTCGCAGCGGTGCCCAAGCCTCCAACATGCCACAGATGTTTTGAAGCATCTCCAAACCACGAAGGAAAAACAGAACCACACCAGGCACCTTTCCAATCAATTTGCTCTGATCCTTTCCGTCCTTTCCATCCTTTTCTTGATTTTCAGCTCGTTCTTGGTGTTCATTCATCTGCTGCAAGAAATGGATCTGCGAACTGCTTGGGATTGAGTCCCGGAACAGGAAGGCGCATTGGCTCATGGAAGCTTCAATGAAGGTAGCAAACTCCGGCAAGTCGGGGTCAGCATCAAACTCAAAGCCAAGGTCAAGCAAGCTGGATATGTGGAGCTGCCGGTCTTGTGCCAACACACTGATGATCCACTTGGCCGCTGCAAGTCTCTCTTCGTGGCTGAGGCGCTTGACAATTCCTTGGTGCTTTCATTGGGGCTGGCGATTGTAGCGAAGCAGTTAAGGTACTAGCCAACCCGGAAAGGACCACAAAAAATGTTGTTCTCTGTGTTTCCTCTTCTTCTTCTTCTTCTTCATCGTCGTTGTCGTCATCAGCATCATCATTGAATCATCATCTTCTTTTCATCTCAGAAATGATTCAAGCAATTTCACGCTTGTGCCTCAGAGAATCCCCAATCCAACAAAACAGGCCGCACCTGCTTTGCATCACCACCGGGTACTTGCTCGACAAACACATTTCCTGGACAAAAAAATGCTGCTCTTTTCAAAAAAAAACAACCCCGTCAACACAAAGTGATGGAGGTTGTCATTTCACTTTAACCTCTTCAACTGCCACCGCATGAAAGCCTCCAGAGCCACTCCTGGATGTGGATCTCCATGAATGAGGCCCTCTTGAAAGACTAGCAGAGCAAAGGCATGAACCAAATTCCGCGCCAGTCCCTCCCGATCTGCCCCATATGGCATCCGATCCAGGTCAGTGATCTTCCAGCCCTCGATAAAGACCATGGTTAGCACCCGCCGCGAACACAAATTCAGCATAGGCTCAGGACAGGTCACGTCCACCGAGTGCCGTCTCAAGGCATTGGCCGCTTGCATGGCATTCTTTGCTTCCAGCTGGAAGTCCACTTCCTCCACGGCTGCGCGACGCCATTCGCGAATCAGGTCCTGAGTCACGGTGAAAGGGGATTTTCGAGGGGGAAAGTGGATGGACATGGCATGACATGGCAAAAGTCAGAGAATATCAAAAAACAGACATCTCGAACTAATCGGTCTTACACAAATACCCATATCTGCCAAAGATGCAGCTCAATCTAAAGATGGCTTCATTTTCAGACTGGGAGACTTGAAGAAGCCTTGAAGGATGCCCATCTTGCACTTAGATGGATACCATAATCATCGCACATTGATGGATACCATGTGATACAATGTTGAATTCGATAGAGTGACAGTAAAATCTGGAGCGCCCTTGTGGAGTTTCATCATCTTGGCCGCAATAAACTCGATGGTCACAAGGTCTGTCTTCATCAAACTTCCAACTCCATGGTGCTGGACCTTCACGCAGACCTGACTGATATCTGATATTCATAGGACTCGCCCAAGTCAGAAACACATAAACATAAACCATGACAATGTATACAGCATCAGTATCAAAAAAAAGGATATATGGAAATATGTTATCCCAGAAGCATGCTCATCTTCTTCAAAGATCTTCTAAGTGTTTCTGGCATGTTTGGGTGTGCACATGCGCTTGGATCTTTTGATGGGAACGGGTTTGAAGGCGCACAAGCATGTGCAGTATCATTGATACACACACATATATATATATATATACATATACATACACACGTTGAAAAAGAATATCATATTATAAATATATATATATAATTTATATATATATACATATATATGTATGTGGGTGCGTGTGTGTGTGCTATACCAGTACATGTGTGTGTTCCCACTTGAACTGATCGCCAATCACCCTGTTGGCCCATCTGATTTGGCCTTCTGACCAGAGCTCCGGAGCCATGCCATGTGAGCCTGCAAAGCGAAGAAGTTTTTCTGGGCAGAGAGAACCGTGGGCAAGAACCAATGGAGTTCATCATTGCCACTGTAGTTTGGGATAGATCGCAAGGAAAACCTGAAAAGACACTATATATTATATATAAACATTGGTTACAGTCTTTCGACATGTCGAGCAAGCTAATTGTTTGCTCAGTCCTGACCCACACTCGCCGACGCAATGGGTCGTTGTCCAAAATCACGGAAAGTTTCTTCTAAAGGTCTCCCCAAGTCGGTTTTGATCGTCCGCACAACTTCCTGCGAACAAACTTGAAGCCACTTGAAAAAATGCACTTGAAGCCACTTGCCAACTACACCCCCTTGTTGAAGCTGGAATCTTTCAAATATCAGGGGCCTGCCACAGCCACAGTCAAATCCTTGTTCATGTTGAAAGCACCCGCATGTTGCGCATTTTCTGGCAGCATGTCTTGGAGTCTGGGAGGAATTGGTATGTGATGGTATGTGTTGCGGTGTGTCATGGTGTGTCCTGGTAGTTCGAGATGGGAAGCTCATCCTGCAAATCGCGAAGCTCTTCAACCCATGGTGCTGGTAAGCTTCCAGCTTTGGTTGAGGCGGCTTGACCTGCTGAGCAAAGCTGAGCAAATTCTCCGGGCATCGCCCCGCTGTACTTGAACAGAAGATCGATGAAGATCGATGAAGATCGATGAAGATCGATGAAGATCGATGAAGATCAGCAATCAAACCGGAACAAATGTTCATAAATTCTACTGTACTGAAATTGACTTCTAATGCGTCAAGGGCACCGAACTTGGTAAGGAAGCCCCTGTATTTTAGAATGTGCTGGTGAACCAACTTGGCATTCTTCCGGTGCAACTGGTTCCATCGTTTCTCCACGATCTCTTTGTCCAGATCAGGTTGAGACGCCAACTCATGTTCCTTGAATGGCCCAAATGCGGCATGTCATTCAAGGTTCAATGTGGTATGAGCCTACAATAATTAGCCTGCAGACTATTCCAACTCGACGAACAGAGTTGCTGCAAAAATCTCGGCACCAGTACTGTATATACGGTGTATATACAGCGTATATACTGTATTTATTTGTATTTGCTTCAATCTGAATCGCCAGGATTCCAGTTTCTTCACAGATCTGCTAACGGCATAGGCAAGTCGAACAGTGGCAGCAGACCGAGTCAACAGTGAAATTCTCCCAGTTTTGGCCTTCCATTCGGTCTCCATCACACCTCACTTCATCGATGGGCACCGCATCGCCAGCGTTGCCGCAGTTGCATGGTAGCCATGGCTGCGACAGCGACTCGCGAACAACGTGTGGCTTCAAACCAGCCTACAAAGAAAATCCAAAAAACCAAGTCACATTCAAACATCTCAAACATCTGAAACTTCAAGCAATCACAAACAACACAAACAAGGATGTTGGGATTTGTCAGACATGTTTGCTGCATTTCTGTGCAACATGCAGAACTGGACATATCAACACTCATACTGCATCACTACCGTTTGCAGGAGTATCAGTGAATATCAGGGAAACTGTGAGATTCAGAGTTCCAAGTATATCATATTCGCGGAAATTCCCAGATACCATATCAATATGGTAAGATCTGAATCTGCAATCACAAAACTCAAGCTACATGCCACAGGTTTCAAGAGCCATCCCGCCAAAGCTTCGATCCAGACCCGGCAGAAATTGTTTGCTTGCTCAAAAACCGTTTAAAAAATCAAACATAATTCAATAGTATTAGTACTGAAGATATATTATGATTTTAAAATATTTTAAAACAATATCATCCATACATTCTTACCAATACCATGATATACCATGATATACCATGATAAACCATGATATTGAAAGTCATTATGATCTTCAACAGACCCGGCTTCATCCTGCGGCACAAGATCGCCGGGTTGGCCCGGTCGTATTCGGACTTGCTGAAGCCTTCACGCTCGTTGATCACCGCCAGCAGCCTGCAGAACTCCTCCAGTCCAATATCCTCAGCAGAGGTCCGAAGGAAACCACGGTGTAGGGAATTTTGTAGGGAATTTCCACATCAAAAATGGACCAAAACAAAGGTGGTGTTTATAATTCTTAGGGGGATGGGAGTAATATGAAAAAGTGACTTAACCTGTCTCAACTATTCTCAAGTGATATCATGTGATATCACTGTGGCCATTTCTACCACATCCACTAGGTCCAATACACTCTTGGGCGGCTGAAATCCTTACATACCAAGGCCCCAACCCCGGAATTGTCTGCATCAAACTCTTGTGTCAGCTCAACGATCACCTTGACAACACCCAGGAGAACAAAAAACTCAGGGTTGTCCAAAAGCAGGGTCCCCGCAAATTCCGGTTTGTTTTTCACCAATGTCCCAAGGTGGTCACCATCAAAATTGCCATGAATTGGATCACTCTGGAGCAAATGATCTCAAAAAAAAAATCCAGTGAATTATCATCAGTTTATATCAGTTCTCTCCATTCAAACAGCAATTTCAGCCAGAATTCGGGCCGGGCAAACCCACAATGCAACGGGCCACGGGACCCCACGCAACGCCATGCCCGTTTAGCGCCTGCTCCATGGGAGTCACATTGATGCTACGCAGGAGATTGCCAATCTCCTCGGCCTCGGTATTGACATGTTTGGATCATTTTGACACTGATATATTGAGGGAAATTGGTGTATTATTATGATGTATTGATAAATGAGTAAATGATGATTTATGTTCTGTTGATATTATTCGGATACACACACACTAGACAAGAATGGATCATTATATGATCCGGCAGGAACTGAATCCTGAAACATGCAAACCAGCCTAGATTATTAGAAGAATAAAAGAGCCACGTGAGGTACTGCTCGAAAACGTTGTAGGGCATCCGATATTGTCAAACGTAGTCATAACCAGATTCCATAGAGTTTTGACCAGCATGTTGAAATCCAAAATAATGTTTCGGCGATTGTTTCACAAAGTAACCCATGATTCGTCGGCGACAGGTCTCGGCGAAAATAGGTCAAAAAAATATATAATGCTGTCGGCGATATGGTTTCGGCAAAAATCTGAGGAAGGTTCTGATGCATGTAAATCTCAAAATTGATTCCAGATTGCGACAACAGTGCAGCAAACAAGACAGCGTGTTCAACAGTTCAACTTGATTTCTGCAGGTACACAGTTGGACGTCTCCAACTGCTTCCCATGACATCACTAGCTTCGTTGGCCAGCGTCGTGATGCCATGCGCTGGCCCCCTGCAAATTAGTGAAAACCAATAAGAAGTTTTACATCTGTTCAGATGGTACACACACACACACCTCGCATGTAGCGAGGTTGGATTTTTTGGAAGAACTTCGCTGGCGGAATCGGCAATACACCAGTGAAAGTGAACCTGTAATGACCTAATGTACAAACGGGCGATCACTTCAGTCAGAAGAGGAATTTGGAGCTTGTAGAAGAACTTCGATAGCATCGTGGAAGCTCATGCGTTCAACCATCGCCCAAGTCTGATTGAGTTCCCCCGATGCCGTAGCAGCCTTCAAGGTGTCAGATAGATCTTTGGCTAATTCATGGAGCCGGGTGGTTAGGCTCGGTTCATCTGCAGGAGATGTCGTCTCAATGGGCACATTGTGAAAAGGATGGTGTCCGTGTACAAGGGGGATCTCGAAATGATGTCGCCAATAGTCCGCTGTACGCAGGGACCACTCCCAGTTGCCCGAAAGACCATAAAAGTAGTGTTCAGGGTCACGACATCGGGAATGCCCTAACAAGGGGATTTCTTCAATGAATAGCTCCCTGGTGTTGTTGGAGTGGGTAATGACCTTGAATTGGATCTGGTGAACCACGCGAGAAGAGAATTGAGCACGATGGAGGTAGTTTTGTGCCGAACTTGACTCCGTCGGAAACGGGACGCCAGGAGGTGCTGGTCCTGAATATGTATCAGAATGGGCCATAGTACCCGTGTCAGGAGCCGTACTGTCAGTTACCAAAGGTGCCGACGTAGGGTTGGTAGTAGTGTCAGGAGGGCCTGAGTGACATAGTGCAGAAGTCTGGGCGTCTGGTACTTGAACTGGGTTGGTAGGAGCGAGTCCGCGGGTAGGATTCGAAGGCCAAGACAAGCCCGCCACGGTCGCGTCTCGTTTGTGTTCCATGGGTGAAACTGTCAGAAATGCGAGAAATAGTGCAACAACGGCTGAGGCATCAAGAATTGCAAATATAAGCCAATCCCGAAAATGATAACATTCACAATAATGATAAAAGTGAAGTCCAGTCCTCAATCAAGTGGTTCAATTGCGACGGAGAAGCCACAGCTCAAAGTCAAATAAAGTAGAAATCAAAGAATCCTTTGTGTTGGTGAGGTGTCAAGGGAGAATTGAAGACCCTGCAGCATGGTCTTTTTTGGCCGGCTAGCGTATCAGGGCAGGATCACACCGGAGCTAAATTTGTAGCATTGCAGACGTAGTACAAAAGGCTGTGTGGTACCCGGAATGAGCAAAGAGGATTCGCGGGAATTGTACTGCCGAAGTCGCCATTCAGGTCGGTATTCCTCCAAAAGCTGCAAGATCGTCATATCATTGGAGACTTGGAATGTATCACCGTCCAGGTCGCAAAAGCGAAACTCCAAATTCGAGGGATCAATTTGGATGTCCCATTGGGACCTCAATCTTTTCGAAATACAGAAGCGTAGTTCGCCAATTGGGATGAGGCCGGCTTCAACGGGTTCCATCTGACGTGACCAAGTAAACAGAGCCTCAAGTTCGTAGCCACTGACATTTTTGAAATTTGAGCTAGCCATAGCCATGTAGTGTTCACGGTCAGGTTCGCTGCGATGAGTCAATGTCTGTAGGGGAGAGAAGTCAACCAAGATAAGAACAGGTCGGTTTGGAGGAGGGTTCACATCACCAGGAAGGCCTCGATGTCCAGCAAACCATCCAATGGTTCGGGTGCCCATTGGTGTCTCAACCGTGGAGGTAGCACGATATGGATGAGGCCGAGAAGAATGAGCCATGGCGTCCAATACCGAGTGTCGAGGATCGAGGATAGAACGGAAAGCCCAAGCTGCAAAATAGGTTGATAGTTACCAAGGAATAAAGCTCAAAGTGTTGAAAATTGGAGGGAAACGGTGTGCCTAGAAAATAGTCACAAAACGGCAGTAAGTCACTGTTCTTTTCCGGTGCCGACAAATAATGTGGTGTATTACACACTGGAGTCTGACATATCCATCGGGTCCGTATCGTTCGCATCCAGGGGACCTTGTACTTGTTGAGGAGGGACGGTAGGCCGAGTGAGATGTAAAGTACGTTGTAATGTTGCTGGTGGTGACGAGGGTGGTGTAGACCGCCATGGTGGCCAATATAAGGAGGTGGTAGTTCCTTGAGAGTGATGTTGCGCAGAGCGTCCCCAGCATGACTGCAAAATATAGAGTTGGTCTGGTATTGCTTCATACGGTTGGGAAACATAGACATTGGAGTGTTCAGGGTGTGGTAGAACAGGAACAGCATTTGTCGTGGAGGAGGAGGATGATGATTGAACTGGTACATCATAGTGTCGGCGCCAATGATTGGCCGTGGTACGTAGGGTCGCCTGATCAGTGGTGAGGTGCATGTTCTCCAGAAAGATTTCCACCGGTTTCCACGTTTCAATACCATCAAGTGTCCTTTCCACGACCCAAAGTTCATCCGGACGGTTAGACAACGGATAGCTCAGCTTCTTGATGAATACAGAATGGACAGTTGTAGAGGTCGGGATGGTTCGTGCTTCGCGAGGGATATACGATGCCGAAGTAGGATCATCCGGCGGTAGATGTGGAACTGGGCCATGTAGGGATGTAGGTGGGGAACGGTGTGAAACCAATCGAGTAGTATCGTCCGTCTTGTAGGTCATCGTATACAATAGCAATAATATGGTTTCGAAATACACTGGGCTGAAGCCAAAAAGCCATGCGAAAAGTCAATGATAAGGGAGTGAAGAACGAACATCACCAAAGGGAAAAGAGAGAAGTGAAAAAGACAACGGAAAACCAAAACCAGGGTGGCGGGCATCATAGCGAATGTTTTCCTTTTTCCTCATAGATGTTAGCATCGCCAGGATCAATCTTGAAGGCTAATCACTCGGCCGCCTTAGTATATCTGGTGGCCGTGACGAAAGGATGCCCACGGGGAATCACTTGAACATGTACAGCGAAGCCTGTGTCTTGTGCGTCTGGATGGGGTGTCAGCAGCAAAGGTGAACACTCACGAGTCGTGAAGGCATCAAGATGTTGGTGAGTTTTCCATCTCGGGTAAAACCAGTTCAAAACGTCCAGAAGAGAATGAGGGAGGTCATCAAGCATCTGAGCTCCTTGATCGGTATCAATCATCATGTAGAATTCTGAAGCTGGTAGGTGTATCGACCATCGTTGTAGCAGCGTGTCGGTGACTACTGTTTTGAGGTCTGAAACGAAGTGACTGCGAGCATAGTCCGGGTAGATCACCTTGAACGTCTGGAACAGGTTATCATAGGTGGCCGTAGGGAGGTTGCCCGCGACCTGGGGGCTCAAGATGTTGTAGTAAGGGTTGCGGACGGCAAGTTGCTGCATCGGTTTCAGGTCCAATTGGAAAATAACTGGTCGGTGGGGTGTCGTAGGCGGAGTCCGGTTGGATGGGTGCTGAAGTGACGAAGAGCCCATAGTGGAGAACGATGCCCTTGTCGGAGAGCGTGAGCGACGTGTAGGTGAGATCGTTTCATGGGACATAGCTCGCAGTTGGCAATAGCGGTCCAGGTGAATGCGGAGAGACATAATAAATGGCTGGCGGGTGGTATGATACGACGTGTCAAAATTCAGTGGACCAACAATGCCCTAGGTTTTGAAAATCACCAAAGGGAACAAACAGCTCAAAAGAAAGGACCAACTGGTTGGTGAAGCTGTAATACAGTGCGGCAAACTACCTTTTCTTTTTGTTCGCATATGTCGTTGGTCAGCCAAGTTTGTCTTTGATCTTGTTCCACATAGAGCGAACATCTTCCTCGGACTTGCCCATCTTGGTCGCGATCACCTTCCATGAAAATCGAGACTTCTCGTCAGCTTTCAATGTGCGTAGTTTCTGCTTGTCCTCGAACGTCCAGAGTGACAATGGGCTCGAGGAGCGGGATCGGGATTGGTCACGTCGACGACGACGCTTGGCAGGCGCCTTTGGGGCGGATTTGGCTTTCTGTTTCCGATTCGGTGGTGAAGGTGTTCGCGTAGACAACTTCGAGGGTGCAGGTAGGACATCAGGTGACGGAGCGGCAACATGGTGGTGTGGCTCAGGGAGATGGGTTTCCACCAGTTCATCCATAAGTGCCTCTTCTTCCACCAGATCCGGCGATGGGAGGGGGGCATTGTCAATGAAGGCGTTGGTCTGGTCCGAATAATGTGGTCGTAGCCCATCAGGTTGATTCCATACGTTTGTGCTGGGAAGAGGAGTAGGTTCAATGTTGGGAATAAGCGTGGGTGGTAGTAGCGCCATTGCTCGATGTAGTAGAAGGTACGCATGGTGAACATCATGAAGAAATTGAAAAAACACTGGCTCTTGAATCGGAATCGACGTCGTAGGAGGCGAAGAAGCCATGACAATGCGTCGAATATGGGCCAACAAGTGAAGAAACCGAGTTT